ACTTCCCTATATTAGATTAGACGCAACAGTTACGTTTTACAAATCGTTTAATGTACGATTTGCGAAAATTTATCTATATAAAACATATAGATATTTCTAATTGTGAGAGAATGTCGTATGTGCAGAAAGTTTATTTGATACATATAATGGATACATATGAAATGAATGCCATGTTTCGACAGCTCTATAGTGTCTTTAAAATATCAATTATCTCTTTTCAATCATTAGCTATAGCGACATAGATTTAATACTGTATATTATTGTGTGACTATCTTACATTGGTTCGCAATTATATTTAAAGCAATAAATCCATAATGAACGAACAACTAGAAAGAAATAATAAAAGAGTAGGATATACATATATAAATATATATACAAATATATACAATAATGATAAAAGAATTGCATACAGTGATAATAAAGCAAGAAAAAAATATTACTGTCGATAGCAGTCGCGAGAATATATTGCACGTTTTCCAACATTTGCCTAATTATCCTTTAGTTTCTTAAATGTAAGACGGATGGTTACGTTGCGTCACATAGAGACGATGTGAAACTAATTTTAATGTCGACCCAGACAAAAAGTGTCTAAAATCGAGTCATAAGACGTTTTTTGCGTCTAAAAGACGTCTTAAAGAGGTCTTATGTCATAATTTTAGCCTTTGTGTTGGTTGGGGAGGAAACGTTTTGATTTTTATCGCATGTTTCGAGAGTGTTCGGTTACTCGTAGAAAGTGCCTACAAAGTAACATAGAGAAAATGTAAAGAAAGATTTGCGCTTCTATTATATCACAGCGTATTTAACGCCAATTGTACTTTTCTAGTCTACAAAACGTCAGGATCTTTTACGTGATATCTGCGATTAAAGTATTTGTTATCGTTTTTTCGATTGCAAGGACCTAAAATATTCGAACGAAAAGAACCACTGTTTCTCGATGAATTTGTTAGCGTCGTTACATTAACGTTTATCATGTAAAAATGTACTTTTGCCTATACATCTTTCTGAATGTTCTTTTCTCGATCGATATAATATATCGTAGTAATATATAATAAGAATTAAATAATATCCGATCTTAACTTTAAGCACAGAACGATGCTGATGTTTAAGCGGTATTTTATGACTTAAAACAACAGCTTGCTATAAATTTTCATGTTTTATAGCACGAAGCATTTCTAGATATCAAATTTAAAGTTTAACGTTAATTTTAATTCTTATCAATACAATATTTAATTTTTTTAATTAATTGGAAAGTTTTTAATTTGCTAATATTTTACTATGTAACGTTGAATAATTTTTTTTTCCTCATGATATCATATTTATCGCGCTTTCTCAGTGCTTAAAGTTAAAGAAGAATTACCAAGAACTGCACAATTATTCTATACATAAGTAAGTTAATATAAGAGTGGAATGGAGCTGGAAAAAATCTGAGGCACCATAAGATCTAGATTATAGTCATTTATCGAAACTAAAGGTTGTTCTATAAAACTAGTGGATCGTTAAATTCCTGATATAATGTATATTCTGTTAACACATTATGAGTCGATTAAATTTTCCTTATATTTATTTATTTAACGGAGATTTATTTTATTTGTAAGAGTAAATTTTTTGTGAACGTTATTAATTTATTAATTTTTTTGTATTCTTTTAACATCGTTTCTTTTAATATCGTTTCAAAATTGTTCGTTTCAAAATTGTTCGTTTGTACGATTTCCCAGATTTAGCTCATTCCTATAAATAAGTTATACAAAATAGAAAATAGCTGTACACGCGAAGTACTTTGCCTACAGCCTTGCTGAATATTCAATTAATTTCTTTCGGCGAGCGTTCGCGATTCTAAATCCGGGCATTGCGTTTCATATTCAGATTCGTTTGTCAGGTTCATCTTTCTTCGCCTTCATATACTTACACTGGATGGAATAGCGAACTCGCAGCGCTATCTAACATCGGAATCTTATATTTCGAAATATAGTTTATCTGTTATAATGTCTATATCCCCCATTGACAATATGTTCCAAAATATATCATTGTTAGAAGTTACAAATTTGTCGCGTTCTTCATTACCTACTTCTCTAATCTTTTGTATGTACATTTCTTTATATACCATAAAAATATTTGACTAGTTTTAGCTAGAGACCCTCTAACAGAGACTGGCCATCAGGGGGCCACTTTTGATTGGTCCGCCATTTCCTAGCGATTCCCGCTCGTATTGAAATTTCAATTACTGCATTTACTTGGAATGTAAATAGTATGTAATGATAAATATTATAGAAATATTAAAACCGTGCTTTTTACATCAATATAAATAATATACGTCAAATAAAAAAAAAACATGTCAAGTTTTATCGTCAGTTATATACATCTTTATCTTTAAATAACTTTGTTATAATAGCTGTTTTTTGACATTTATGATTTAATTTTTGACTTTGTTATTAAATTTTAAAAATTGACTCTTATATTGTCTTCGTTCTTTTTGTTTATACGTTAAATAATTTCTATATTTAATATTCTCTCTTTCTTAATTCTATTAAATCTTTTTCAAATAAAATTAAAGTAAGGTTAGGAAATCAGTGACAAAAGTACAAACACTTAACATTTGTAAAATTTATTTAAAAAAGGTGTGTACTGCCAATGATTTACTGTCATATCTTCTATTAATATTAGTATTTTTCTTACTTAATGTTCTTAATTTGAATACGACAAACTTTCTAATAATTTTAGGAAACAATTGATAATTTAAAACATATTTAACCGTAACCTGACTAAAGACAGATATTAAATAATTTTTCCAGAATTGTGCAGTGCAATCTCTCATTTTTATTGTTATTATTTTGTACTGAGCAAAAACCACAAACACAACCTTGAATCAACTCAAATCAACTTGAATAAACGATCACATACGAACGCACATATTCGTGTGAGTGAAATGGCCTATATTTCTCTCTCACTTGTAGGATTTCGCTAGGAAATGCCGGACTCGCCTGATGGCCAGTCTCTGTTAAAGGGTCTCTAGTCCGGTCATGCTTGGAAAGCCAAAAGTTTCTTTCCGCGAGACTTAACTAAACCATGTGAATTTGACTATCTTTATAAGAAACAATCTGGTGGTGCTGGCCAATATGCTCGTATAACTGGAATTATAGAGATATAAATAATAGATTTTTATCATTAATATTTATTGATATTATTCATCGAGAGCCTTTAACCTTATCAAACTCAATTCTTTGTTTGATTCCAAAGTGATCAGGCTTAATCAGGCTTGTCCGGTCATGTAATGATGAAACTTTTCTCGTTCGACTCGTTCTTTCTTTCGATCCCCTCTCTCAGAATATATGGCTATACGCATGCGCGAAATGAGAGAGAACGAAAAGGCCCAAATGAGTGCGTCCTTTTCTAGATAGGATTACCCCCACTCCTACAATGCGTGTGACGTGACTTTCCTGTTCCCGAACAGTTCTGAACTGTACTTACACGTATTCTTCGTGCACTTTTATGCATAAAACTTCTATAACAAATAAATCCGTATTAAATTAAAGAAAACATCAATTAAGCATTTCTATATATTCTTTTCGTCATAAATAAATAAATTACAGTTAAAAAACATTAATTTACATGCTCAACGGTTTCATTTTCAAAAATAAAGTACGTATATACAAATGAGTAAATTTGAAATGGCCGCGTTTTGCGTCAAAATGGATGCGAAATTGCGGTACGTTACATACTAGTGACTTTAGTCTGAAGTAGAGATCCTATCTGGGTATCGATCATGAAACTTTTTCCCTAGAATGGAAAATGAAAAGTGAATAATTTCTCCATTAATTACAATGGTAAAAATTTTCACTTTTTATTTTTCATCCAAGGGAAAAAGTTTCATGATCGATACCCTTGAGGGCTTCTTTCACCAACGCCGATTAACTTAATCGACGATTAATCCATTGGAATTGACCACGGAGTAATAAGAAGGAGATCAAGCTCAATCGGTCGGCCATGAAAAAGATGGGCTCGAAACACGGTGTCGGAAAAGCGCTGTATAGAAGAACTGATCCGAGTGCGCCTGTCGAAAAACACATCGAAACACATCAAATGTAGGTTAGCAAAATGTAGGTTAGAGAGAGAGAAATTTATGTCACATGTAGAGTCAGAGAAGCACAACCGATATTCCGCGTCCTGATTGGCTGATGACTGTCAGCCAATCATAACATTCATTCATTGGTATTAAAAATGTCTGACTAATAGACGATTGGTGGATTTCATCAGTTCGTCTGCAAACGACGCCATTTTTAATACTGTCTTTAGTAATTTTGCGATACTGACTTAAGCCGGTTGCGCTTCTCTGATATCTAGGACTCTAGTCACATGATAGTCAATACTTCCAACTTTCCCACAATGGTGCTAAAATCACATCTTTTCAATTTTCCATAGGGTTTTCCGAAACCGTGTTTCGAGCTCATATTTATCCTCGAGCTTGATCTCCTTATTACTCCGTGGAATTGACCAAATCGCATTTATCATATAGTTTTGACGACAGACGTGATTGGTCAATTCCAATGGACTAATCGTCGATTAAGCTAATCGGTGTTGGTGAAAGAGGCCCTGAAGTGCGCCGCTATGGCGCTTTCGTCGGCATCAACTGCCATCAATTGAGTTCCATTCGTTCCATTTCATTCCGTTCCGGCCATTTTCCTTTGTGCTTCACTCCACTCCGTGTTTCAACGATTCCAGACGTTCACGACGCGCGTTGTGCGTATGTAGATGCATTTCGAGTGGAAGTACATACGTGGAGGAGTAAACGAGGAAATACAGAAGTCACGGGTCTTTTAAGTGAATCCCTATTGGTTTCTCTTTTTTCTTTTTTTTCCGTTTTATATCGGGTACACGCACGGCCACTGCTCTACTCGACGGTAGCTCGGCGACGACGCGAAAAATTGCGATCCGCAACGCACCACGAGTAGGGAGGGGGAGGCGGCCATCTCCGAGTACTTCTGATAGTTTTTATATTCTACGGTATGTCAGAAGGCGAGGCGTTGTCCCAGAAGAAGCAGCAACAACAACAGCCGTTCCATCAGCAGCAACAGCAGCAGCAGCAGCAGTCGCAGATCGGAGCGGGTTCAATGGCGAATATGGTATGGCAGTACCCGCCGAACAACATGTACAACATGTTTCCACCGTACCCAGGGTGAGTCGCGCCGATGGCGTGCCAATGTGTCAATGGGAACAACGCGAGGAGGTCGGCCATATCGGTTGACTCAACGGCATGCCGTTGCAACTCTTGGATATTCTCGAAATCGGAGTTCCGTCAGACTCCGTCCATTTCACAATTATGTTCACGCACGCTCACGCAATGCGCGATACGCGATCTCGCGCGCTTTAAAGTCAGGATTGTTTGTTGTTCGAAACGAACGTAAAATGCGAGAGACTAATATACGCATTTGTATGTATATTATGTATGTAACAGGATGATTCATGTCGAGCTTGAATTGCATTGTATACTTCCTAATTTTTAGAATGAAAATTGAGTCACCCTTTTTTAAGACTGGCTTAATTTTCATTTTTTAAAGTGAGATTTTATTCCAAAAAATTTAAAGAGACAAAAGCTCCGTGTTTTTTTTTTCAATGATGATTCTGAATTGGTATACAATGATACAAGAAGTTGGAGTGAAATAGTATAGTTGTCTCATTTTTTCTCACTCTCTCTTTTACTTCTTCAACTCGCTGAAAGGGTTAATTGTGTATCTTGGAACAAAGTGAAAATTATAAAAGTGAGCAAATTTATTAGATATCAACCGATATTGTTATATATTCCTATAATATAAATATTCTAGTGAATTTTATCACTTTTATAATTTTTATTTTATTTTATACATATGACTGACTCCCAGCATCAGGATGTTGATTGTGTATTTGGAACGAAATAAAGATTATAAAAGTGACTTTCACAGGGTTTTGTGACCATTAAAATTATAAATATTTAAATAAATACATTTACTTTTGTAATTACATATTACTTCGTTTTAAAGTACACAATAAACTCGATTCAGAACTTTCTTTGAAACAAAACAGAGTCTTGTTTGTGAATCTCTCTTTCTGTAGACAAGACTAAACAAATTGGATTTGTTAATGGGTTACCTACTTCTTTAAAAATATAATAATATAAATATGATATTAATGAAATAAACTCTAACAAAATGCACAATTTGAGATGAATTATTTATCTGATATATGTACAAATGATGTTTGTGACAATCCAATTCTTTGTACAAACATAGTCAGTCAAGAGTTTGGTTTAATTTCAATTAAGGTTTTGATTTTAATATCACTAATGTGTTGCTATCATGATATTGGCTATGTTCAACAAAGGCAACTTTATAATTATTGAGTATATCCAGGAGTACAACTATTCACTAAGAGCCTAAGTAGCAGTTGAAGGTAATTGGTTCTTACTCTTATATTTAACCAATCACCTTTGATTACTATTTAGCTTTTCAGTAATTGGTTGCAGTATTTAAAATTTTAAAATATTGAATGTATCCAATCACATTCAACTTTTACTTAGGCTATGTTGCAAAATTTACTGCCAGTATTGAAAATTTATAGTGCTCTTAATGTAAATTATAGATTTTCAATATTGGCAGTAAATTTTGAAACATTGCCTTAAGCTCTTCTTATGCAGTTCCACTACTGATGAATATGTCTGTTATAAAATTGTTTAATTGTAATGATTAATTTTTGTCTTTAGTTCCTTATGGAACAAATTTATTATATAAACACAACATTGCTAATTTATCGCTTATTATAATGTTGTCATATATTCCTATAATAATAATTTTTATTGATGTTATCTAAGTAACATCACTTGCGACAATTTGAAAATTTATGGAATAAAATGATATTTATAATAAAATATCAAATTTTTGCTAATACTATTGTAGGAATTGTCATAACATGGAGTTCCAATTACGAATGATATTTTCACAATCTCCTTTTGCAGACAAATGTATGGCCCAGGATATCAAGGTGTGCCACATCAAGGACAGATGTTTAATTATTATCACATGATGCCAGGGTATGGCCAGACTTTTAATCCTCAACAGATGCAGCAGCATCAACAACAACAGCAACAGCAGCAGCAGCCGCAACAGCAGCAGCAACAACAACAGCCACAACAGCAGGGAGGAAACAATCAGACAAAGCAACAGTTACATCAACAACCTCCTATTCCTGGTACTCCGATGCCTCTAGATGATGAATCTGATCTTCCACCGTTGCCGCCCGGTCCACCGCCAACAACTCCATCAACTCAACAACATAACAATCACATGCAACAACAGCAGATGACTTCTTATTCAGGAATGATGTACAATTCGTTTCCCTACAATAACTGGAATGGAATGCATAATAATTCTCGTAAGTTCTATTATATTTTTTGTATGATAAATAGAGATGGGTGAAGAAATTATAGAGGAAGAATTGATCACTTTTTTTAAGTAATTTTAATAAAAGTATGTTGTTTCAGTTTTATATATGTATAAATAAATCAATTTTAGTAGTAAAAATAATTGGGATTGTATGGATTTTCAAAAAAGAAATTATTTTGAAAAATCTAGATACATATAATAACATATAAAACAATAAATTATAGAATAGACACATAATATAAACCAAGTATATTATGTAGAGTTTACGTTGGCTCCCGCATGTGAGATAAAGGGGATCTCGCTTCACTCTCTAATAAAGATTATTCTTTGTCTGTTAGAGAGAGGACAGACCTGAGTTGTGTTTTTCTCTCTTGTACATAAAGGCCAGGTCTCACGTTTCATGCTTCGTTTATTTCTATTTATGCTATACTGTGTAAGTATAGTCTATTTCTAGAATATTGTTCCATTGTTCTTTTATTTTGAAAGTTTGTTTCTAATGTCATGTAATGTAATTCGTCAATATTTACTGTTATCATCAGGTACACTTTGCTCATCTCTATAACGTATAATTTGAATCTATAGCTCTAAAAGTACTGATTCATATTGCAGAGTATAATGGTCAGATCCGTTTCAACTTACCCAACAAGAAAACGGGTCTTGGATACGTGCCGTCCGGCAATAGCGGCGCTGCGAAGAGAAAACGTAAGCGGAACAAAAATTTAGCAGCTCAATTCAACAATAGCTTTCAGGGGAATGCTCCGATTGGTCCCTTTATGCCTAACGGACCCAATGCAAAACCAGCGGAACTACCACCGTTACCTCCCGCGCAAAGCGAAGTGGCAGCCCCTCCACCGCCAAGTGAGGAGCCTCCTAATTCTGTCGTGCCGGTCACCACGGTTTCCAGCAGCGCGGTCCCCAGTACTGGCACCACTCCCTCCGTCGCTCAAAGTCCGGTCGGGGATTGGCCTGATAGTCTGAAGAATTACGTAAACCGATGCTATGAGAAATGTAAGACGGCAGTCGATAAGGATCAGGTCGAAATCATACTGAAGGGCAAGATCACACGCGCCGCGAATGACGGCTCGCTCTGGGTGAAGGACTGGGATAAGGAGCCTCTGCCCAGCATCCACAGCGAACGTATGACTATGACGATTAAACCTTCGAAGCCGGCGTTAAAGCTGGCGAATCCTCTGGCGAGCCCACTGGTCAATGCACAGGGAGGCCTGCGCAAGCCTGGCCTTTCCAGCTCACTCGGGGCTCGGCTTGGCGCGCGTCTCTCTGTGACACACAGCAGGCGGTCGAGGTCAAGGTCGAGGTCGAGGTCAAGATCAAGATCCAAATCGAGATCGCGATCCCGTTCACGATCGCGATCGCGGTCACGTTCGAGATCGAGATCAACGTGTTCGCGCACACGTAGCCCGCCATCGCGCAGGTACAACAGGCGCAGCACGTCCTCGTCGTCGAACATTAGTGATCGGGAGCACGAGTACAAGGCCCCTAAAACGAAAAAATCCGCGCGCAACAAGGCGAATCACAACAAGAAGTCCAAGAAGACTAAGCAGGCTAAATCGCATTTCTATTCCGAATTTGGTTTAGCTACAGGCAACACGGACGAGCTGGGAACCAAGGAGAAGCTGCAACAGCGCGCTGCCAGATTCAACGGCGGTATTTCCAGGTCGGTTGTTAGCAGTGTCGTTATTAGAGATGACTCGAACACGGACTTCGACTTTACCGGACTTCACATCGTCGGCACGTGCAAGGATCTAGAAAAGCCCTACTTACGTCTCACAACGGTACATGAATATTCGAAATTATTTATTCTCATTTACAATTAATAAAACATGAAATATTTTATTATAAAAATTAGGGATGTGTTTCATTTGGCGCTTACAACACTGGCTATTATGTTTAACAATTAGTAAACAAAGATTAAATGATTTTGAGCATTGAAGCGTCAAGTGAAACGTAATCTAGACAAAAATAATTATGTCGTAGTCGTGATGTAATTAATTACGCATTTTTTGACAAAATTATATTATTGCAGGCTCCTGCCCCTTCTGCAGTTCGACCGGTAAGTGTACTTCAAAATTCTTTGGCCCATGTTAAGAAACGTTGGCTGGCTGACCAGGACTACAGATATGCTTGCGACCAATTAAAATCCATTCGGCAAGATCTTACCGTGCAAGGTATCAGGGACGCGTTTACAGTTCATGTATATGAAACCCACGCCCGTGTAGCTTTAGAACGTGGTGATCACGAGGAATTTAATCAGTGTCAAACACAGTTGAAAATGCTTTATCAGGATCTCGGTGGCGAGAATCGATGCGAATTCATTGCGTATCGGATTCTCTATTATATTTTCACAAAAAACACTCAAGGTTGGTAACAATGTTAACAGAAGATCCGCAAATATTTCCTGAGATCAAGATTAAAAAATATTCTATAATATTTTTATTTTCAGACTTAACGACAATTTTAGCAGCACTTTCGCCAGAGGATAAAAACGACGAATGCATAAAACACGCGTTGAAAATACGATCTGCTTGGTGGTTGAGTAACTTCCATGCTTTTTTCAAACTGTATAGAACGGCTCCGCGCATGTCTGCCTTTTTAATGGATTGGTTTGTCGCTAGAGAGCGAAAGAAGGCATTGAAGTTTATGATAAAGTCGTACGTATTAAATCTTATATTTATATATACTGTTATTATATTATCTATATATTATAGGTAACCGTTTTTGTATTTTTCATTGAATAGGATGTATACTTTCTATGTTGATAAAAGTAATTTGTATTCGTTTTAACTAATGACTTTAATTTTGTTCTCAAATATTTTTAGTTTAATTTTGTTTAATAATGATAAATAAAGAGAATCATAACGTCTATACAAAAAAATTGAGTAAAAAAAGGGCAATAGGAGCCAGGCGCGGTAATTATTGCGCACAAATTGATATATAAATTCTTTATTAAATAACGATCTTAGATTAGATTGGATTGTTATTTAATAAAGAATTTTATGTTAAATTTATATATTAATTTGCGCAATAATTACCGCGCCTGATTACTATTGCCCTTTTTTACTCAATTTCTTTTTTAAATAATAGGGAGCTTTGTAAATCTACT